TTGACTATAAGCTATATACCGTTTCTATAATACATAACTACCCTGTTACATAACACTTTGCCATACTTATAATGTGAGCATTCAAGTTGACTATGAGCTACATACTGCTTCTATAATACAATATCACCCTGGTACATAACACTCTGCAATACTTGTAATGTGAGCATTCAAGTTGACTATGAACTACATACCGCTTCTATAATACAATGCCACCCTGTTACATACCATTCTGCAATACTTGTAATGTGAGCATTCAAGTTGTCTATGAGCTACATACAGCTTCTATAATACAATACCACACTGTTACATAACACTCTACCATACTTGTAATGTGAGCATTCAACATGATTACCAGCTATATACTGCTTCTATAATACAATTCCAACCTGTTACATAACACTCTGCAATACTTGTAATGTGAGCATTTAAGTTGACTATGAGCTACATTCCACTTCTATAATACAAAACCACCCTGTTACATAACGCTCTGCCATACTTGCAATGTGAGCATTCAAGTTGACTATGATCTACATACCTCTTCTATAATACAATACCACCCTGTTACATAACACTGGGCCATACTTGTAACGTGAACATTCAAATTGACTATCAGCTATATACTGCTTCTATAATACAATACCACCCTGTCACATAACACTCTGCAATACTTGTAATGTGGGCATTCAAGTTGACGATGAGCTACATACCGCTTCAATAATGCAATGCCACCCTGTTACACACTATTCTGCAATACTTGTAATGTGAGCATTCAAGCTGACTATGAGCTACATACCGCTTTTATAATACAATACCACCCTGTTACATAACACTTTGCCATACTTGTAATATGAGCATTCAAGTTGACTATAAGCTATATACCGTTTCTATAATACATAACTACCCTGTTACATAACACTTTGCCATACTTATAATGTGAGCATTCAAGTTGACTATGAGCTACATACTGCTTCTATAATACAATATCACCCTGGTACATAACACCCTGCCATACTTGTAATGTGAGCATTCAAGTTGACTATGAGCTACATACCGCTTCTATAACACAATACCGCCCTGTTACATAACACTCTGCAATACTTGTAATGTGAGCATTCAAGTTGACTAAGAACTACATACCGCTTCTATAATACAATACCACCCTGTTACATACCATTCTGCAATGCTTTCAATGTGAGCATTCAAGTTGACTATGAGCTACATACAGCTTCTATAATACAATACCACACTGTTACATAACACTCTACCATACTTGTAATGTGAGCATTCAACATGACTACCAGCTACATACCGCTTCTATAATACAATACCACCATGCAACATAACACTCTGCCATGCTTGTAATGTGAGCATTGAAGTTGACTATGATCTACATACCGCTTCTATAACACAATACCGCCCTGTTACAAAACACCCTGCAATACTTGTAATGTGAGCACTCAAGTTGACTATGAGCCACATACTGATTCTATAACACAATATCACCCTCTTACATAACACTCTGCAATACTTCTAATGTGAGCATTCAAGTTGACTATGAGCTACATATCGCTTCTATAATACAATACCACCCTGTTACATAACTCTCGGCCATACTTGTAATGTGAGCATCCAAATTGACAATCAGCTATACACAGTTTGTATAATACAATACCACCCTGTTACATAACTCTCGGCCATACTTGTAATGTGAGCATTCAAGTTGACTATGAGCTACACACTGATTCTATAACACAATACTACCATGTTACATAACACTCTGCCATACTTGTAATGTGAGCATTCAAGTTGACTATGAGCTACATACCGCTTCTATAATACAATACCATCATGTTACAGTTGACTATGAGCTACATACCGCTTCTATAATACAATACCACACTGTTACTTAACACTCTGCCATACTTGTAATGTGAGCATCCAATTTGACCATCAGCTATATACTGCTTCTATAATACAATACCACCCTGTTACATAACACTCGACCATACTAGTAATGTGAGCATTCAAGTTGACTATGAGCTACATACCGCTTCTATAATACAATACCACCCTGTTACATAACACTGGGCCATACTTGTAAAGTGAGCATTCAAATTCACATACCATTCTTCAATACTTGTAATGTGAGCATTCAAGTTGACTATGAGCTACATACTGCTTCTATAATACAATACTACCCTGTTACATAACATTCGGCCATACTTGTAATGTGAGCATTCAAGTTGACTATGAGCTACATACCGCTTCTATAATACAATACCACCCTGCAACATAACACTCTGCCATACTTGTAATGTGAGCATTCAAGTTGACGATGAACTACATACCGCTTCTATAATACAATACAACCCTGTAACATAACACTCTGCCATGCTTGTAATGTGAGCATTGAAGTTGACTATGATCTACATACCGCTTCTATAACACAATACCGCCCTGTTACAAAACACCCTGCAATACTTGTAATGTGAGCACTCAAGTTGACTATGAGCCACATACTGATTCTATAACACAATATCACCCTCATACATAACACTCTGCAATACTTCTAATGTGAGCATTCAAGTTGACTATGAGCTTCATACCGCTTCTATAATACAATACCATCATGTTACATAACACTTTGCCATACTTGTAATGTGAGCATTCAAGTTGACTATGAGCTACATATCGCTTCTATAATCCAATACCACCCTGTTACATAACACTCGACAATACTTGTAATGTGAGCATCCAAATTGACAATCAGCTATATACTGCTTCTATAATACAATTCCATCCTGTTACATAACACTGTGCAATACTTGTAATGTGAGCATTCAAGTTGACTATGAGCTACATACAGCTTCTATAATACAATACCACCCTGTTACATAACACTGGGCCATGACTTGTAATGTGAGCATTCAAGTTGACTATGAGCTACATACCGCTTCTATAATACAATACCACACTGTTACTTAACACTCTGCCATACTTGTAATGTGAGCATCCAAGTTGACTATGAGCTACACACCGCTTCTATAATACAATATCACCCTGGTACATAACACTCTGCCATACTTGTAATGTGAGCATTCAATTTGACTATGAGCTACATACCGCTTCTATAACACAATACCACCCTGTTACATAACACTCTGCAATACTTGTAATGTGAGCATTCAAGTTGACTATGAGCTACATACCGCTTCTATAATACAATACCACACTGTTACATAACACTCTACCATACTTGTAATGTGAGCATTCAACATGACTATCATATATATACTGCTTCTATAATACAATTCCACCCTGTTACATAACACTCTGCAATACTTGTAATGTGAACATTCAAGTTGACTATGAGCTACATACCGCTTCTATAATACAATACTGCCCTGTTACATAACACTTTGCCATACTTGTAATGTGAGCATTTAAGTTCACTATGAGCTACATACCGCTTCTATAATACAATACCACCCTGTTACATAACACTCTGCCATACTTGTAATGTGAGCTTTCAAGTTGACTATGAACTACATACCGCTTCTATAATACAATACCACCCTGTTACATAACGCTCTGCCATACTTGTAATGTGAGCATTCAAGTTGACTATGAGATATATACCGCTTCTATAATCCAATACCACCATGTTACATAACACTCTGAAATACTTGTAATGAGATCATTCAAGTTGACTATGAGCTACATACCGCTTCTATAATACAATACCACACTGTTACATAACACTCTACCATACTTGTAATGTGAGCATTCAACATGACTTTCAGCTAAATACTGCTTCTATAATACAGTTCCACCCTGTTACATAACACTCTGCCATACTTGTAATGTGAGCATTCAAGTTGACTATGAGCTACATACCGCTTCTATAATACAATACTGCCCTGTTACATAACACTTTGCCATACTTGTAATGTGAGCATTGAAGTTGACTATGAGCTACATTCCACTTCTATAATACAATACCACCCTGTTACATAACGCTCTGTCAAACGCCAACCTCAAGAAAACTGTAATCATTCTCAGCAGCAGGACCCTCAGCGATGAGGACAGAACTGTACTTTCAAAAGGCTTGAATTTTGCACCTTCGCCTCTTCAGCACAACGACACGTTCATCGCCAATATTGAGAAAGGTTTAGAGCAGCTTGCCCCAGGAGGTAAGGTAGACTATCTGAGACACCAGATAGCCAATATTCTGGTAAAGAAAAACAATACAAATGCCAAAATAAAAGATAACGTGTCCAATGCTAACAAGGCACCCCTAATACAACTGCAGTCTGACCCAGCTATCACCATCGCACCAGCAGACAAAGGAAGAGCTACTGTCATCATGGACACCACAGCCTTCGCCACCCTAACCAACAACATCCTGAACGACCCCGCCACCTACAGGCAGCTGAAGAAAGACCCAAACAACAGCCTCCATCGTGACCACAAAGCCCTCCTCAAGGAACTCCGTGACAACAACGAGATAGGCCCCACTCTTCATAAGCAGCTCACAGTTCCTCATCCACCACCACCCTATGCCCGCGCTACCATTAAAATACACAAAGACCCCATCAAGGCCCGCCTACTAGTCTGCTCCAGAAACACCGTCCACTACAACACCGCCCAACACATTGCCCGTCTCCTCGCCCCCCTTGGTAAATCAGCCACATTCTTTGTCTCCGACTCCGCCAAATTCTGCACCAAGATCAGTTCAATCACCCGCCCTGGCAAAATAATTAGCTATGACGTCTTAAACCTTTACCAATGTACCCAGAGAGGAAGCCCTTACCATCATTCGGAAAAGACTCCAAGACCTCCACCCTGACCTAGACACCCACCTCAGCATTGACAGTATAATCCGCCTCATCAACTCCTGCATCAGCTCAACCTACTTTACCTGGTCAGATAAGATTTACCAGCAAACCCATGGACTACCCATGGGTTCTCCTCTCTCCCCTATCATCACTGAGATATACATGGCGGAACTAGAAGACCAGGCCCTGCTGACATCACCCATTGCACCAATTTGCTGGTATAGAAAAGTAGATGACACCTTTGTAGTTCTCAACCCCAACGACAACCCTGAACACCTCCTCAGCCACCTGAATTCCCATCATTCCCGTATGCAGTTCACAATGGAAGAAGAATCTGACAACAAGCTCCCTTTCCTCGACGTCCTAGTAAAGAAAGAAGAGAACAAGCTCTCCACTACTGTCTACAAGAAACCCACCCATAACGACCAGTACCTTCACTTTACCTCCAACCACCCACTACAGGTTAAGAAAGGCATCATATCCACTCTCACCCGGAGAGCTAAGAACATCTGCTCGACAACGGAAGCCCTAGAAACCGAACTTAGCCACATCTGCCACGTCTTCGTCCATTATAACCAGTACCCCAGAAGCTAGTCAACAATATCATCACAACCACCCTCAACCCAAGAGATAAACCACCCCGCCGGCAATCAGCACCCTTTGTAATAAGTATCCCGTATGTCCGAGCAGTCAGCCACCAGATGAGACGACTCCTTCAGAAGCAAGCAAGCATAGACGTCCTGTTCCAAAAAGGCAAATCCATCCACAACCTCCTCCAAGCCACAGGCAAACCACCATCAACAACAAAAGATGACCCCTCGGGAGTAGTCTACCAGATTCATTGTCAATGCGGAGACTTCTATATTAGTGAAACATCCTGCCCGCTCCCACTACGAATCAAGGAACATAAAGCGTCAGTCCAGAAAAACGACTCCAAATCCGCCATAGCTGACCACACCCGACCGAACCCTGACCCTGCCATCCTATGGAACAGCATCGATATCCTAGAAATCAACAGACAAGACTACAAAATTAGGAAACTCCTTGAAGCCATAAACATCCAACGCCACAACCCCACCATGAATCGAGATCAAGGTTATTTCATCTCGTCAGCCTATCACCACCTAATCAAAGACCACCACCAGTAATCCGTCCCTACCTCCTTTGTCCATCTGGCTTCCATGCTCCCTCCTTTGTGCTTGTAAGCACAACTATTGTACGTCAACTCATCAATTGTATGAACTCAACGCTAATCACAATCAATCACTCTTTCATCAACCTCCTCTGCTGTAATCACTTATCAAATACCCAATGTACATCAACCTTGTTGATTGTATGTACTCACTATTCAGCTATGTATATATTCTCCTTGCTTCAGTTGTTGTATCACTTGCTTAATAACGGTGTAAGTACCTACACCGAATCGTCGCACTCATTGCAATAAAGAAGTTGACTATCCATAAAAATCAGTTTTCCATCACAACATTACTGATAAAAACTGTTTCTGGACCAAAAGTAATGCACGTAAGGTGTCCTAGGTGTGTAAGCATCCAGTTTCCACACGAGGCTGGCTTGATTATCAAGTCACTGCTTTGATGAGTTCACATGTTATTTGTTGGCGAGATCTCAAAATGATATCTGCTGTGTGTTAATAAATAGAAGTGTGAACGATGCTTCAATGTAATGATGAGTTCACATGTGATTTGTTGGCGATGTCTCAAAATGATATGTGCTGTGTGTTAATAAATAGAAGTGTGAACGATGCTTCAATGTAACGAACTATTGGTTGACTTGTGTGTTTACCTTAACATGCATCTGGGGCGGTGGGGTAGCCTAATGGTTAAAGCGTTGGCTCGTCGCACCGAAGACCCGGGTTCGAATCCCCACATGGGCACAATGTGTGAAGTCCATTTCTGGTGTCCCCCGCCGTGATTTTGCTGGAATATTGCTAAAAGCGGCGTAAAACCAAACTCAGTCAGTCAGTAACATGCATTAACATCCTATTTTGTCACACACGAGATTAGGTTTGGGTTGTTTAGTTGAGGCCCGAATTGACACAACGGTCGATACACTACATCCTTAGATAAATGCACCACCACCGTAACCGACTGCCGGCTGAGAAAACACCAGCAGAAATGGGATTCACACATTGTACCAATGTAGGGAATCGAGCCCAGGTCTACTGCTTGACGAGAGAACGCTTTTAACCACTAGAGTACCCGTCGCCCCGTGTGCAGGGAGAGAAGGATTGATGGTTTCTACCTGTTTGTTTGCACATACACACATTATATAATACACGCTGTGACATACGCTCCAATACCCACACACTCTGTCATGTGTCAGTCTATATAAACAGCACGAATATGTAGTCAGGCAATAACACTGTAAACATGCACCGGATAGATTACACTTCAAGTATGTTAGTCACGTGTCATCTGCCGGAAGTGACCTCTGTGCCACAGAGAAGGAAGTTATTTGTCCAGGTAGGTGTGTTGTAACTGTCTTCTTCTCGCAGGCCAGTGCACGGTATCAGTCAGGTCCTACATTTGCTAGTATATGTAACGTTGCCACGTTGTTACTGCTGGAGGTACAAATACCATGATCGTACGTTGTAAGTCCTGGTTATTTGTGACACGCAACCACAACAAATTTCTAGTTTCGTTTTACGATGATGGCAGCTACTCATACACGCCATGACTCACCGTAATTGTGTCATATGGAGACAGACAAGCCTACATCGTGTTGCAATGGTTTAAAAGTACGTTTTGTACAAAATTGTATCAGCTGGCTTCTCACATACGCCATGACACACTGTCTTTGCAGGGCGTAGCTACCATTATAAAAAACAGTCCGGGCTTAAACATAATTGTTGATATAAAGGGTTGAGAAAGCCCTCAATACTATCGTAATATAAAGCTTTACAACCTATCGGGATTACACGAACACAATTGGCTTGCTACGCGCCTGCTCTGTGTCATATCGAGACAGACAAGCCTCATCGTGTTGCGTTAGTTTGAAAGTATGTTTCGTACCAGCTTGCTACTCACCAACGCCACGACACACTGTCTTTGTGCCATATCGTGCACACACAAGCCTTTGTTGTCTTGCTGTAGTTTGAAAGTGTGCTCTATGCAAAATCCTACCAGCTGCCACTGTGCTGATGTTGAACGTACGGAAAGGATCGATTGAAAGAATATATAGTTGTCTTATTGTGATCGTGGTGAAAAGTCTGCACTGCAGGGATATATGTTGTATTGACATACATGACAAGGGAACTCTCGTGGCTAACGAACCGCCTCGCCTCAGTGGGTTGTGGATAGAAAGTGGATGTGTTGTCCGGCGCCCAGTATTTCGATGACATAAAGCAGCACAAGCCTATTCGGACACTGTATTATGTGTCTGAGAAGATGTTTCTATTTCAAATTACTGCCTCGTCTCTCATACAATACAATAAACTGGCGTTAGTTTTGACATACACAGTCTGGTGCGTCTTGCAATTTATTGTAGTTTGGTTCGTTTATAAGCTTTGATGGATTTTGTTTATTGTGTAACGCTGGACTCAGCAATATTCCAGCAATACGACGATAGACAATCCAGTGATCAACAGCATGAGCATCTACAGAATTTGGATACCAGAACGTGTCAGTCAAGTCAGCGAGCCTGACCACCCAATCCCCTTTGTCGACTCTTGCAACTTTTTCTAACCCGGATCATGACGGGTTGTTGCTTTTCTGAATGTGTGTCTGGAGCCTTTTTATTATATTTGATTAATGTATTTTAGGAATCATTTGTACTGAAAATATGTTAATGTCCGGGAATAGCTGTTATTCTTCACAGAGACTAACTCAACGAGACATTGTGTTGAAGACACAGTTATATGTCTTATTTCAATAGATGGACAAACAGACAATGCAAAGTTAGGGATATGTGAAATGCTTAAACTGTTTGGTAACACATCAGGAATAGGTTTTTACAAAATGTTATATCGGCTTGAAGGTACATTCGTCAGTGAATTTGGAAAATATAGGTAAGAAATCTGTCGAATGGAGCATGCAAATCACAATAACCACCTTTGAAAAAACAGGTGCTGTTACGGGTGCGTTGTCTCGAGGTCAAATATTTATACACGAGTACTTGAATATATGGATAGGTATAATTACAGATTACAAAACTCCAGTGTTTATGATTGTGTGGCACGAACAAAACTTTGCAAAAACACCACAGAGAACGGCAAAAAGGGCTTTAAAATGGTCTTTTTTCAACATTCTACTGTGGACGTAAATGCCTTTGGTCACAATAAGCAATTTGAATTTTTGTGTAAAATTAAACATTGAGATGCCTGTTAACTGTTCTTTGGGTGCCAACTATATGTTGGTTTGCAAACTACCTATCTCACCATAAAGGGAAATATAACAGTGATCACTCATTAAAGTTTACTGTCTTCCAGAATGGACATCTTCCCCAAGTGTTCTGTCTGTCATCAGCAGTTTGTCCTCAAAGGTCCCGCCCCCTACCTACTGCCCTGTCTACACGCGGTTTGTGAGACGTGTGTGACATCTGCAACTGGTGGTGTGATATCATGCTCTACTTGTCAGACGGAGGTCAACCTCACAGATACAAGCCTCCGGAAGGATGCAGTGAGACAGAAAGAAATATTCCATCTGACAGCCAAACATCGCCCCACAGAGCTTCTCTGTACACACGAAGATGACGGCAACCAGGCTGTGTGTTGGTGTCGGGAGTGTGAAGAGCTCCTCTGTGAATACTGCCAGAATATGCACAGCAACTTCAAACTTACAAGAAAACATGTACTTCAAAACCTCAGCGACTTTATACCCGTTGTCTCAAACATTCCAACCCCTTGCAGTATCCACAGCCATGACTCTCTTTATCTTTTTGATCGGAAATGCAACATTTTTATTTGTGGAAGATGCAGACTTGAAGATCACGTAGATCATGAAGTTGAGAAGGTAGATGTGGTAGCTGAAAGTATCCTCAAACAGATGGGCCAACACAAAACTGAGCTGGCAACCTTACAAGCTCGCCAACAGTCCAACATTCAGAATATCAGACGAGGGACCGAAATCACGCACAACATACTGAAAGAAAATATTGGCCATACTTTTAGAACTCTGCGATCACAACTTGACCAACGAGAGAAGGAACTTCTGACTGATCTTGAAGGTCAGACGAAGGCGACCAAGACAAGTCTCCGTACTCAGCTAAACACATGTGAAGAAGCTTCGAAGAAATGCTCTGAGGTTTTAGACTACGTCACCAAGGTTCTAACGTATGCCTCACAATCAGACCTCCTGGAGTTGGAGAGTCCTGTAAGGGAGGCAACTCGGACTTTCCTTGACACTGTTGAGACTCAAACACTGGACATACCCGCAGCTGTTTTTAACACCAACGGCTTGTCAAAGCTGAAATCAAACATATCACAATTTGGGGCTGTCGTGACCAAGGACATGGAAAAACAATATGCAAGAGGTATTTATATGAGATATGATTTCACGTTCTTTTTTATTGCGTGTAGGAGAGGAACAGCGTTCTATAGTGCTTACAGATGCACTATTCTTATGGATACACAATGCCATATAGAAAGTGATCAGAGTTGATTTTTTATTGCGTGTAGAAATGGAACAGCGTTCTACAGTGTTATGTTGTATTTGGGACTACACGTTCATAGTAAATTACAGATTCTATGACTGTTTTGGGTCTAGAATCCGTAATTTACTAAGAAGCGTCCTTCAAACTGACATTGTATATTTATAGCTGTCGGCTATGTGGGCGGTGTCAATTCACATTTGTCAGAGGGATACACAAAGTACATGATGTAGTCTACCAGTTGTCAGACTTATATTTTTATCGAACCTGCGGTGACTGAGTAGGTTATATCGCTGACTTTATGTGATCGGGTGCCCGACTCTGAGAGTGTTGGTTCAAATCACGGCTGGGCTCAACCTAACAAAAAGTACTAGAATTTGTACTTTACGGAGAAAGTGTAATCCCAAATATAACATGTGACACATCATTCTCAGCAACTGTAGTGTTTTGCTCGAAAGACAACTAATATTATACTTAAAGCACCGGTAGTTATTGACACAATGTCATTGTCTAGTCAGCCGAGTTGTAATAGATACTTAAATAACACGCACTTAATAAACAGTAACACTTGCTCATAATATGTTGGAATTTTAGAGTCGAGATTTCTTATGGATGTCCCATTATCGCTGATGGGGCGTAAAGCACCAATTATTCATTCATTCTAAAGGGTGTATTTACATCATGGTGTTGTCTCAGACAAGGAAACTCAAACTGAACATGACTTCATGGCTGAGATGAAAAATCAAATATAAGAACATGAGTTTGGTAATTAAAATAATATTATGCACCATAACCGCTAAAGAAGAGCGTATGAGATAGTATGTATGATTACAAAGTATTAAATGTACTAGAACCAAATTAAATGTAAGACAACGATCTAAAACATTTTGAATCCGTTTTCAGAAGTACATGTCCATAATTACCTATCTAATGTCTACAGCACATCGCTCCCCGCTAATAGCTGTAATATTGCTGATTCGGTGTTAAGGAATAATTATTCATTCATTCATTCATTCAGCCCATCGGAAAACAGAAGAGGATCATTGACTGACACAAAACCAAAATCGAAATACATGCAAGCTATATCAGAATTAACAATCTGAGACTGCTATGCTTTTTAAACATTCAATTTATTAAAAAGAGGTACAAGGTAACTTCAGTTATTTTGGGTCACCCTGAAGACCCGGGTTCGATTCCCCACATGGGCACAATGTGTGAAGCCCATTTCTGGTGTCCCCCGTCGTGATATTGCTGAAATATTGTGTAAAGCTAAACTCACTGACTTACTCATTCAATTATTTGGAGGTATTCGTTAAAAACGAAGAGGGCACAATTTATAGATAACACTTTTATAGTGACTACACATTGTAGGCCGTTATAAGGTTGTCAGACTATTGTAAAGCAATCCTGTGCCAGTAGATAAAATATACGGCATATTCGGTACATTGTATGTTCTTTTCCGAGTTAAGTTTAAAATATTTAGATATTTGTACATACCTATCGCCTACCTCCCCATATATCCCGACATACATACTTACAGACAATTAAGTCTGATTAAGGGTTATCTTTTCAGAGCGTCGATGAGAACGAAAACATCGTGAAGAGAGCCTCAGAAACCACCCATTTCTTGCTTGGTAAACTCCAGTCACCTTTGTTCCTTTACTTTCTTCGTTCAGATAACTTAGTCCAGGTTCTAACACTAAAATGTTGACCTGTGTGTTGGGTTTATTATTGACATTCACTACAAGATATGAAAATGTTGTTTTATCAAAGTGATGGCAATGTTGATGTTGCAGGACTGATCAGTAAATGCGATGTTCACCTGCTGAAACCAGACGCCTTGGACAAGTCGATGGTGCTGAAGTGTACGTTCATAATCTACCCATTTACCATCTATGCTTACACTACGAACCTCTTGTCACATCATGAAGGTGATTTGGGGGGTTTGGCTACATTAGTCAACCAGTGTATTCTGTAGTAGAATGTTTTGGAACAACTGTTTGGCTAATGATCGACGTACAAAGTGTTTGTTTGTTTGTTGTTTAACGGCGCAATCGGCAATATCCCAGCTTTATGGCGGCGGTGTGCAAATACTCGAGTCTGGACCAGACAATCCAGTGATGGACAGCATGATCATCCATCTACGCAATTGTGATACGATGACATGTGGCAACCAAGCGAGCCTGATCACCCGATTCCGTTAGTTTTTTCCTAAGACAAGCATAGTTTGCTGAACACAAATTCTGATCCCGATGTCACTGCTGACTATATTTGGGATACAGCAACATCATCCTAGAGAGAATTTGTCTTCTGAATCTGTGACACCTGATTAGTGTTTGCTGGACTGGTCACTTATTGTACCTTCTTTCAAAATGTTACACTCAGTAGATACGATGTTTATGTGACAGGGCGTGAAATGATATACATATGACATTTTCGCTTTGTCAGCTTCCTGTGGCCATGTGGACGAGCCATCTGACTTCCAATCAAAAGGTCCATGGTTTGAATCCCATCACGGGATACGGTAGTTTTATGGCCTGTACATAACAATCAGTTATCAAAACTGACTTTCACGTTGTTGTGTTTTTTATCATTTTGTTCTTAAGATTACCTTTTACTCGTTTGTTTGTTGTTTAATGTTGCATTCAGCAATATTCCAGATATGTGACGGCGGTTTGAAATTATTCAGACAACCCAGTGATTGACAACATGAGCATCTAATCAAAGTTTTATGTGTTGTAGGTATACATCTGAAGTATGACACAGATAAAGTCAACCTTGACCTCACCCACATCAACACAGAGGGGGACTTGATCAACAGCATGTCTGACACCAGGTCTGCAAGGAAAGGGAGACTGACGAACTTCTGTGGCACATGCAGCACTATCCCTCTCCCCTTGGCCGATTGTCCCCAGCACTGGGAGACGGAGACCAGGGTCGGACTGGACAAAACACTCACAAGGAGGAGTCTCATCCTGGAGGTTGGTGTCTGTGCTGATGGAGAGATGGGCATGACTCACCTTGTAGCCCGTCGTCCCCATGCCTACAGTTTGACCGTCCACCACTGTACTACTCACAAAGGGATATGTAGGGTAACCTGGAAGGATGAAAAACCTGTGTTACATCTACCTGACACCATCCCCAACACAGCAGGGGCATCACACAGTCTACACTACGGTGTTGTCTATGATGACGCCAGGAAGAAGATTGTCTTCATTGATGTGAAGGAGAACAAGATGATGTCGACGTTAGACAATGTAGACTCCAGTCAGCCCTTGTGGCCGATGTTCGGGGTGTACAGCACATACCTCCTCACTGTCAGCATGAGACCTGTGGTGGGCAGCGACATCAACCTGACAGAGGAGAAGAAAGCAATGATTGTCGAGGCGCTGTCGTGATATCGTGTTATGACGGGGAAGAAGAAAGCTCTAGTTATAAGACACTGTCATGATGCCATGTTTTGACACCGGCGGCCATGGTGGTGAGTAGGAACACACGGAGATATGTACCAGCGATATCAACATGACAGGGGAGAAGAAAGCTCTAATTATAAGACACTGTCATGGTGCCATGTTTTGACACCGGCGGCCATGTCGTGAGTAGGAACACGCGGAGATATGTACCAACGATATCAACATAGCGGGGGAGAAGAAAGCTCTAGTTATAAGACACTGTCATGATGCCATGTTTTGACACCGGCGGCCATGTCGTGAGTAGGAACACGCGGAGATATGTACCAACGATATCAACATAGCGGGGGAGAAGAAAGCGCTCTAGTTATAAGACACTGTCATGATGCCATGTTATGACACCGGCGGCCATGTGGTGAGTAGGAACACACGGAGATATGTACCAACGATATCAACATGACGGAGGAGAAGAAAGCTCTAGTTATAAGACACTGTTATGATGCCATGTTATGACACCGGCGCCCATGGTCGTGAAGATCAACACAAAGCGTTGTGGACAGCGTCATAAACATGGCAGAGAAGAAAGTTCTGGTTATTTTATGATGATGGTACTTCAGACAGATAGACAGACACTAGTCTGTATCCTGTCTAAGCAAGATGCTCCTCCCTGATTACTACTAATCTCCTCATCGTGTTGCTGTCAGAACTTGAAATGTTTGTATTATAATAGCTTTCTAAACATTGTTAACGTAGACGACACTGAGTCCAGACATACTGTACACATTGTTAACGTAGACGACACTAGAGTCCAGCCATACTGTACACATTGTTAACGTAGAGGACACTGAGTCCAGCCATACTGTAGACATTCTTAACGTACAGGACAGAGGGATGTCCAGCCATACTGTACACATTGTTAACGTAGAGAACACAGAGTCCAGCCATACTGTACACATTGTTAGAGTAGAGGACACAGGAATGTCCAGCCATACTTCACACATTGTTCACGTAAAGGACACTGAGTCCAGCCATACTGTACACACTGTTAACGTAGAGGACACTAGATTCCAGCCATACTGTACACATTGTTAACGTAGAGGACACTAAAGTCCAGCCATACTGTACACATTGTTAACGTAGAGGACACGGAATCCAGTCATACTGTACACATTGTTAACGTAGAGGACACAGGGATGTCCAGCCATGCTGTACACATTGTTAACGTAGAGGACACAGAGTCCAGCCATACTCTACACATTGTTAACGTAGAGGACACTAGAGTCCAGCCATACTGTAGACATTGTTAACGTAGAGGACACTAGAGTCTAGCCATACTCTACACATTGTTAACGTAGAGGACACTGAGTCCAGCCATACAATACACATTGTTAACGTAGACGACACTAGAGTCCAGCCATACTGTACACATTATGTGTATCTTGATGTCGTGGGTATAAACATGCTGCAAAACAAGTTATGAACGTGAATTTGTTAGTGACATTGATTATATCTGGACTTAGATGATTTCTAGAAATGTGCATGTAAAACAAGACCTGTAAATAATCACTTTCACTACTACGCTTATATTGTTCTTGTATACACATCTAACCTCTGTATTTTGTGGGTAGAAATAAAAGCCTGAAAAGGGAAAGGGAAGTTATATGCAATTGGTTAATAAAAGTGGCTTGGATATGAAGTGTCTATGAAAGTTGGCTTTGAGTATAATCTTATACAGCAGGACGTTTTCATGTATTTATTGCTTATCCACATCTACTATTCAGCAGCAATCGCCTACTGTCTGCTTGTGTGATGTTGGGAATGTATTGAAGAGAGCAGCATGTACTGATGGGTCCAACATGTTTCAGGGGCCAATACGTATGGAGGTTCCAACATGTTTTGATGGGCCAACATGAATTAAGGGTCCAACATTTTTCAGGGGCCAATGCGTATGGAGGTTCCAACATGTTTTGATGGGCCAACATGTATTAAGGGTCCAACATGTTTCAGGGGCCAATTCGTTTGGAGGTTCTAACATGTTTTGATGGGCCAACATGTATTAAGGGTCCAACATGTTTCAGCCGCCAATACGTATGGAGGTTCCAACATGTTTTGATGGGCCAACATGTATTAAGGGTCCAACATGTTTCAGGGGCCAATACGTATGGAGGTTCGAACATGTTTTGATGGGCCAACATGTATTAAGGGTCCAACATGTTTTGATGAGACCAATACGTATGGAGGTTCGAACATGTTTTGCTGGGCCAACATGCATTAAGGGTCTAACATGTTTCAGGGGCCAATACGCATGGAAGTTCCAACATGTTTCAGGGGCCAATACGTTTTGAGGTTCCAACATGTTCCAGGGGACAATACGTATGGAGGTTCCAACATGTTTTGAGGGGTCAACATGTTTGAGGAACCAATATGTATGAAGGCTTCAGCATGTTTTGAGAGGCCAATATGTATAGAGGCTCCAAAATGTTCTTAGGTACCAACATGTTTTGATGCTCCAATATGCTTTGAGGGGCCAACGAATGAATGAATGATTTGATGAATGAATGAATGAATGCATGTGCTTTATTTCCTCCATTAAGACGGAGAGTACCTATATGAAAGCAGGGCTTTGAGGTTCCAGGAGCTGATGCTTTTTGCTGTAATGTCAATAAATACAGCCCACTCATTCAGTGACTCATGTTTTCAATGAGTGGTGTGATTCAGTCTTTCACTCAGGCGCGTGTCACTGCAAATCAAATTACACATATATCTCAATAATGACAACGGCAAGTTCCCCAAAACGAGGAGCGGTCGGGAAGTCTAGTGGTTCACCCGTCTCACCATAGATCGATTCCCTACATGGGAACAATGTGTGAAGCTGATTTCCGGTGTCCTCCCTTGGGATATTGCTACAAGAGGCATAACACCAAATTCACTCACTCACTCCAATTATAACTGGATCAAACGAAACATAACAGTTTCAGATTCACAAATTTTATTCGTGTAATAATTGAGAGTTTATGAGCAAACGATCAGAATCTTTCTGTCGTCAATTCGATAACGAGGGAGGTGGACACTATTTGTATTCTGTGAGCAAAGTGGTGAAGATGGTGTGTAGTCACGTCGGATTCACGTCCAACTCCTTGTTGTCGAAATTTGCAGTACTGTGGTTTCCTTGAATCTGTATTGAGAAATATACGACCATGTCATAGGAAGACTACCTTTACGGCAGATTAACATCTCACGCAACTGTGATACAAATCTTAGTTAACCAGCTCCCAGTTTTAGACACAGCATCAACTGAGACGACTTAGCTGGGAAAGTCTCATTTCAAAACATGATACATATAAATATGTATAGATCTGAATTTAGATACCATTGTTTTACCCATTACGTATCGAACTATCATTCCTGTTTATAGTTGAGTACAATAAATCAAACAGAAACTCATGTGCTTTAATTAACCTGGTTACTGAAAGAGTAACATGTGGTATCAAATTGAGATGTTCTGAACATGACAAAAAAAAGTGAATTTATATAAAAATATACATCTTGACAACTCTGACCAGACGAAATTCGAAGAACACACTTTGCAATAATTACACAGGCCTCTGTCTTGCTTGTCTAACCCTTAATTCAGAAGTTTTCCAGGCGCATGGCAGCGGTCTGAAATCAAGTCTGAAGCGGACAATCTAGTGATTGACACCATGAACAATTATTTGAGCTGCCTTGCGATTCCATTGCAGCCAAACTGTACGGCGACGGATCCATGGCCCGCTCCAACGGCATTCCAACAGGTATGAGCATTTTCAGGCTGACAGATGTACCGTAGCATGTTGCTGTTGACTTCTGGACTGCCACCGTGACGGATATTGTGTTGTGTACCCAGATGCATCCCGTGATAATGTTGCACGCATATTTATGTTATCTGTGAGCCAAAGCAGGTGTTCCTGTTGCATCACTACAATTAGTTCAGCATCATTTGAGAACATTTGGAATCCACATTCCCATAAATATAGTTTGGCCTGGCTTAATGTTTTTGCTCGTCATGTGTATATCTATATATATATTCTGTACAAAAAAAATGTTAAATGATCAGTGCCATTATTTGGATGACGTCAGGGTATAATTAACATACCATCTGTGATTCTTGTTTGTATAGGACGGGAATTGGTATAGATCTTCAAGTGCTGAGCCCAAAGTAACTCCTGGAGATTCAACACTGGCGTCTCACAGTAACAGTCATCCACCCATCGTTGATTGTGCATAAAACAAAAATATGTACTAGTATATTGTGATGAAGCGTAAAATAACAAGGTAAATACATGAAATACAGGTAAATACAGGTAAATACAGGTAAAATATTACATCATCCTATCCCGGATATTGACATCATCCAATTACGTCACAAAATAATACAAATACATAGGGTGTTTTTATTTACAATGCATGTTTAATTTGACAACTTAGTTATGAAAATCTATTGCAATTTCCGTGGTCTCTATTTCAATAGGAGAATCCATGTCGATGTATTACGATATTACAACAACAGAAGCGGCATCCATGACTATATATTAGGACATTAAAAGAACATGAGTATGGTCGACGTCAATGTATTAGGACATTCAAACCATGTACAAACAGCATACATGACAATGCGTCAGGACATTAAACCAACAGACGCTGTGTATTAGGACATTCAAACAACCTAAATCGCATCCATGACAATGAATTAGGACGTTAAAATCACAAAAGCGACATCCAGGACAATAGCTTAAGTAGCTCCTGCAGATTAGCGTCTCACAGTAACAGTCATCCACCACTCGTTTATTTTGCATACAACAACGATATACAGTGTATTGTGATGAAGAGTACACTATGACTGACTGACTGACTGAGTATGGTTTTACGCCGTATTTTGCAATATTCCAGCAATATCACTGCGGGGGACACCAGAAATGAGCTTTCACAAATTGTACCCTTGTGGGGCATCGAACCCGGGCCTTCGGTGTGAGGAGCGAACACTTTAACCACTAGGCTACCCCACCGCCCCGCATAAACTATGAAGGTAAATATAGGAATAACAGGTTGTACGCCACCCTATCACTTATATATTGACATCATCAAATTACGCAACAAAGCAATACAAATGTATTTAATGTAAACATTTAGTTATGAAAATCAGCAAAATCCATTGCAATTTACGTGGTCTCTAATTCAATAGAAGAATCCATCAAGACAACAGAGGCAACATCCATGAAAATATATTAGGACATTGAAAGAACATGAGCAGCGTCCACGACAATGTATTAGGACATTCAAACAACGTGCAAGCAGCGTCTACGACAATGTATTATGACATTGAAGCAACAGACGCTACATCCATGATAATGTAAAACATCAGAAGCAGCATCCATGGCATAATGTCATTGTACCAAAAGCAAGGAGGCGCCTCACACAGTGTACATTTATTTTTTATCTCACTTTCATTCTCTCATCATTCGTGTCTCCAAATTCATCTTTCATGAATTTCTTTCAAAACACGTTACTTCGATGGTAAAAATAAGACATTAATATTGTTGTACTAAATATATATCACGATATACGTTCGATATCAAACTGCTCACCTTAACTGTAAGAAGCCTATAGTCATCTTGAATGCTCATATTAACATTTACATGAAATTCTTTTGAACAAGCATAATGGTTTAGAGCGTTCAATATAGCTACCCTTTTCAGTTAACATAGTAGTGAAAGGTAATTCTGCGGTCGAAGCCGTTCTCGTTGTTGTGGTTGCCAACGTAGTACTCGTCAATGATGTCGTTGCAGCTGCTGTTGACGATGCTGAACCTACAACATTATTAGCATTCTAATGTTGCGTCAAACAAAATGCTGCCTTACTCAAAATGATTGAAAGCTGAAGCATGTCCCGCTGTTTTTTAACCAGTTCAGGTTTGAAATATTTGTTTATCAAACGGTTCTTCCCATAGAAGAGACACAGGTACAGTATCTTCTGCTCTTTACATATGGAACCTGTTCTTAGTAGAAAAGAAGACACTCTGCCAGTCCAGTTCACTTGTTCAGTTAGCGCCTACTAGTGTCAACGAGATCCCTCGGAAAGATTTATTGGTATTCTGATTTTGCGTTACACACAAAATGATTGAATGTTGAAGCATGACCCGACTGTTTTCAATGTTTGATTTCAGTTTTACATTTGTTCTCGATTGATGTGCTTGAACTAAATGAGTGGCATGCAAGTTTATTTTTGTGGTATGACTTGTTAAGTTTCAGACTTTAAAAGGAACATTCAAAGTAAAGAGACAAATACATACTGTACCTTTTGAGCAAGTCTAAACACAAACGGTTTTGGTAGTTTCTTTGATCTTATGACCTTTGGCAGCTTAATGATTTGTACAAAACGATTTCCCCATCACTATCACAGAAGGCAAGTACCGTATGTCAATAATCTATGTCAAGTGGGATTTAGTATAGAGCTCGAGTCACAAATCAATTTTGTGAGTGAGTGAGTTTGGTTTTAGGCTGCTTTTTAGCAACATTCCTGCAATATCAAGGCGGGGGACACCAAAAATGGACTTCACACATTGTGCCCATGTGAGCAGTAGAACCCGGGTCTTCGGCGTGATGATCGAACGATTTAACCACTAGGTTACCCCACCGCCCCGACAAATCAATTGAAGGTAAGCAGCGTTGGTCGCGGAGAGTCTTGGATGGGTGACCGTTTCCGGCAGTTTCACTCCTAGAGGGTTTCTGGACTTCTGTACTGTCCCACAACGACGCACACGTGATTCATGTTGTCTCCTTAAGCAAGTAAGTTTGTTCAAAATCGTGTCTGTTCAAACAGCAGAAAATGGGTACCTGCTGAGATAAGTCACATGACTATTAACCTTCACAGGCAGCTTGGATTATGTATAATGTTCATTATAATTGTACTGCTAAAATCGTTCTAAGCAACTGGGCCCTGGGCCCCATTCCTCAAACCGATCGTAGCGCTAAGACGACCGTATCTCCGATACTTAGGCTTACGAGTGTGGTAGCGCTACAATGGCTTTGAGGAACGGGGCCCTGGTATGTAAGAGTATATATGAGTCTTCATCTGTTCTCGGTCCTGTTCTTGTCAACAGTAATTATTACGGAACACGTAAAGTTACTGATGAATGCAGAAGTAATGCATGCATCGACAATAATAATAGATCACAAATCTCGCTACCTTTCTTCACACAAATATACGGGTGCACATAGTGACATGGAAAGTCATTCCAAGCGCCGAAAACCCCAAAGTTGGGCCCAATGCAGTGCTCTCCAGCTAAGTTGTCAGGCTGACCTGAAAGAGAATTAACATTTATGAAGCACCTGAAAGCAGTACAGATACATTGTGACAGACAACCTATCCTGTGGTGAAGGTGCATTGATAAGTCACAAGGGGCACTTCCAGGCATAATGTGCTACAACGTCACACTATGGACATAACGAACCATTCTCTGACGATGACTCTGCCCTACAATGGGTAAATAGACACCTGTATCTGAGAGTTTCTCTCAATACACTTACCTGTGTAAGTGAACTGATTTTATTGACTGAAGGTTCCACAGGCGTGGAACTCAGTGGTCTGAGTTTCTGTTATTCAGAGTTATGTCCCTTATGTCCCTGCCAGGATATGATAATTTAAAAATTTCCAGCGTGATCATTTACTTGCCATTACAGTATTAGAGGGCTCAGTTGTCACCCACATGAGAACAATGTCTGTATTGCTACACCCTTACGACAATATGATACCTGATTCCCAGTTAGAGAAATCAGGTGCAGACCCGTCCGTCCAGCGTAAAAACCTTCTTGTTGTAGATCATTTAAACCGATCCAAATGGGCATAGATGATTCAAAACCTGAATCAAAACCTGAAACAAAATTGCATATACATTGATCAAATCAGATACGCTATATGCCATAACTATAATGTGTCTGTTTCTTTAAATGAATTTCCAGAAATGTATCGAAGTCAGAATTTTAAGTCAAGTTACAGCATGGCACATATTTTCCGATTGGCTATTAAAGCTTGCCAGATGAGCTCCTCTTTTTTGACTATCCTTGTAAGTGGAATGTCAGTCCGTTTTGTCAGAACTGATGACGTAGCAGTTTGTTTCAATGAAATTTGTCGAGGTCACAATGTTAAATCAAGGTACAGCATGGTTGCCAGAAAGTTACGTAAACGTTATAGTGATATTCATAGGCTTTATTTTTATTTAAACTCCATCAATGTCATAATCATAATGGACACGTTATATGATTCGTTTACAAAAGGATTAAGTGGAAATGATATATTCAGCAAATAGTAGTACAGTTAAGGTTCCATGCTTGCGATATATGCAATGTTAGCGGAATGCCAGTCCGTTTTGGAAGAACTGAAGAAGTAGCACTTTGTTCCAGTGCTCGTCCAGCCTGATGGGCAAACTGAAAATGATGCTGGAATTACAGAGAGATAAAATATATGTAAATAGTATGTCGATAACATAGCGCTCGTCAGTAGAAAAGGGCCATTATGTCCACCGTCACATCAATAAATTCAAATAGTTAAGGTTTTACTTTGCACTGAAGGGCCTGTGGAAACAGCTTACTATCAGAATGAACGAACACAGAGTTGGGTGATTGTCAGACAGTGCATACACTCCTTTAATCACCTGATGGCGGACTCTTAAAATATGTGTAATTGCTGTACAATGCGGAACTCTACCATATTCCAGCATATTCCAGCTGTAAATAAACGAGTGAATAATATCATGGGCAACAAACCTCGCTGTCGGTGGACGTCAACAATGCAGTTAACCAGGTTTCTGAACTTGAGTGCGTGTCTCTTATCATACGGTGTCGCGTTACGTGCAATCAGTGAAGTATGATACACTACGAGGTTGTCGTGCACGAGGTTGTACTGACGGTCTTTGTTGTTGAGTTGACATTCTTCCTAGTTTTGGATAATACGATTCTGAAATTCTACACCACACTAATGAATGGCAAAGAATGCAACCTTATTCTAGCAAGCAGTAGTCAGCTTCTGGTATCGCGGCTTGTAAAGATTCGAAATTTGACTGTCAATATGAGCAGGGACCCACTACCAACTTGACATGTGGACACGCAATCGATCAAATATCAGTTGTCGATTCTGATGGAAATCATGAACTTCTAGTAGGGACCACATGTTCGTTTTTATACTGAATATTTGAAGAAGCAGAGGTAGAGATTACAGTGTGTAAGATTGCAGGCGTATTTCATAATATGAATAGGTTCTATGATCCATAACTAGTTGATACAAATCTAGGGTTCAGACTAAAATGTCACCACAGCAAAACGGCACCTGGCTAAAACGGCACCAACTGGACATAACGAAACCTCGACTTGGCGAAAACGGCTACAAATCTTATGGCGAAAACGGCACCAACTAAAATCTTATGGGAGAAACTAGGGACCAACAAGTACCATATTTTAACGTCTTTTGGTATCACGCTGTCGGGGATCGAACCCGCGACCTTCCGCTCTCCGGGTGGACGCTCTAACCACTACACCACGGAAGCGGTCTGCGTCTATATAAGCCACTAGGCTTGTTCGCGTATCCAGGTTTCTTTGACGAAATAAAAATGAGTTTAAACCAAATATATCTACTGTGCCGACAGTGATTGGAAATGGGCATCCCATAGCTGATAATCGGATTGCAGAATGTTTAGATAGTAAATACATCTACTGTGCCGACAGTGATTGGAAAGGGCATACCAATTTAACGTAAAACATCGCAATCTTTGATGTTTTAAGTGCAATTACTCAACTTAAATCGCCCAGTGTCAAACTCAGTGTCAAAAATGAAATTGTATTTAAAACACACAAATGTACCCATTGTTTACCGTCGCCGAAATACCTTAGTTGTGCGTGCGACGTTAAATAAAGCAAATAACAAAAACCCATTGTTTGTTAGTTTTTTTGTTTTAAGTGGATTTTTTTCCTTTTTGGGTATGCATAACATAATATTATTTCTGAATATACATAACATACATTATGCAAGCTTAATGATGTTTCATTTTTCGTATTTTACCATTTTTATTAGACATTTCCTGAAATTGTGTCACTGCCGTTACGAAATTTGTAACATCATTTTGAAAAGAAAAAATCCAAAGATAGTATCCAAAAATTCAAATGCCACATCTGTGACATCAGCCACTGGAGTTGTGACACATGAACATTGAGTAAAATTGGGTGGTGTAAAGTAAATATAAAAATATATTTTCCCTAATTGTGTTACTGTAAAGTGTAGAAGATACTGGGATAAGTTAGTTACCATAAATGTTTTGGTTTGATTTTGACTTAAGTTTGTCGGCTACAAACATCTGACATAAATATGCACGGATTTAGAGAATGAGTCATATGTTGATATAATCTTGCTAATGTTATAATGAAATGGAATATAAAGTCAACGTCATACTTTTTTTATATATCGTGCCGTTTTAGCCCAGAAATCAGTGGTCGTTTTCGCCAATATGGTGCCGTTTTCGCCAAACAAATTTGGTGCCGTTCTGCTGTGGTGCCGTTTTAGCTATAACCCCAAATCTACAGGTAAGACATGTGATCTCAACAATAATCTGTGACTGTACATAGGCGGATCCGGAGGGGTTTTGCAGGGGTGCGCACCCCCCTTTTGTACTGAAAGTTCATTAAATGGTCATTGAAACCCGGGTGAAAATGAAGTGTGCACCCTCCCTTTTCTGAATAGTGTGCATCCCCCACCCCTTCTCAAAAAGATGTATCCGCCCCAGCTGTGGGTCTGCCAACTAGCGACAAAGATTGTGTATCCCTAAACGAGCCACGAGCTAATGAATTCCTATTCCAAAGTGATCATGTGATTGGCTACATCCTGTATCAAGCCAATGACGTGCGTGACTTAGGATTCACACATTACTTAAGTGTTACTGGTTTGTTTGTCAGCGTTACTGTTACGCTGTAATGTTTATACGTTTTATCAACCATTTATACACAGTAATGGAAAATATAGGTAGTAAGAGAGTAACTATACATTACTCCTGTTCTAAATAATGTCTTTGCTTTCATGTTCGCTTATGTTGAATCAGCCCTCTAGGATACCTGCAACCAGTTGCGGAGAAAGATTAATGCTCTTGAAATATTTTGTCAGGGAACAGGTATGCAAGTTAATCTTAACAATACTTAAGTTATCGATTTTGGAAATGGTGGTCCTCTTCGCATTTATGAGAAGTGGTATTTTAATGGGGAACAATCTTAAATGGTTTCATTCTATAAGTACTTTTGGATCACGTTTACACCTGAACTTGTTTGGTCTAAAGTTCAAACCTGTCTTGGCACAAGCCAGGAAGGCAATACCCTCTGTCAATGTCTTTCAAAGAAGATTTGAAAACATATGCTGCTCTGACCTTTTCAAACTACTTGTTGCAATGATAACACCTACGTTATGCTATGATAAGAGTACCCTTTATTGTTATTGCAAAAAGTTTCTAATATCCAGCAAATCATCGTCTAATGTTATGGCTCTGGGCAAAAGTGGCAGATTCCCTTCACAGCTTATTTACATGACACGTGTTGTAAAAGTTTAGTGTAGACTAATTCATCTTCCACATTCCAGACCATCATATCAAAGTTACACTATGCTCAAAGCTCCACATAGCAGTGGACACACAATACGGGCAACAAAGGTTTAAAATATTCTGTTTATTATGACTTTGGGTTTGTCTGGTTTAGCCAGGATGTTGGTGATGTAAATATGTTTATCGATCTGTTGAAGGAAAAGCTTCCAGAAAGATTGTCTGATACACTGCTACATTCATGGCAGTCTTCTATTAATGAATATTTGAAATGTCTTTCTTATAAACAGTTTAAATCATTCCTTGGTGTTGAAAAGTACCTATCTTATGATATTCCTTTCCATTTAAGAGCAGTCCTTTCACAGTTTAGATGTTGCCATTCTAAAATAGGAGTTGAAAGTGTCCCCTATGATAACATTGAATATACTCACAAGCTGTGTGTGTATTGTAAAAGGTAAAGTCCATATTGAGGATGAAATGCATGAACTTATCTGTTAATGTTACTCAACACTAAGAGACAGATATAGTACTAAGTATGTTACGAAACCATAGCCAGTTACACTTTGGAAATCTTTAATTGAGAACAATAATTCTGATATCATTAGACCAGGACTCCCCACTGTCGACAACACATTCTTGCACTGGCGCACATACATACAATGATTAACGCAACACTGGGTTCTATACTGACATAGGTTTACCTTTCCTTGCGTCCACCTCTCTTTCTACAACTCTTCAACACCTGGTTCTAGACTGACATAGGTTCACCTTTCCTCGCATCCACCTCTCTTACTACAACTCTTCAACACCGGGTTCTATACTGACATAGGTTTACCTTTCCTCGCGTCCACCTCTCTTACTACAACTCTTCAACACCTGGTTCTATGCTGACATAGGTTTACCTTTCCTCGCGTCCACCTCTCTTACTACAAGTCTTCAACACCGGGTTCTATACTGACATAGGTTTACCTTTCCTCGCATCCACCTCTCTTGCTACAACTCTTCAACACCAGGCAATATTCGTTCGTCCTAAAGTGGGAACCTGAGTAACGGAAACTCTACTCTTGTTAAAAGTAGCTTTCTAAATTGTTCGAGTCTGATCATGTTCCAATTCATCGATTTGATTCGTTAATCTGACCATGGTTTGATGTCTTGCCACATGATCGGAGAATGACTGCAAACTACTCACCACTGATTCACCGTTAACGGACGAAGTGTCTTGTGCATTCTGTTACTCACCATTATTACGTAATATGTCTCTTGATTTATTACAAAGCAGCGATAGCGCCCATTCTATCACGGAAAAACCGCAATTCTCAATCATGAGCTTCTTATACTTTTCTTATGTGTTGGGGA